TTCCCTCGGCCTTGTTCCTCCTCACAGAGTTGATTTCCATCCCTTTTCGCTGGTCTTCTCCTGCCTGCGTCCCCGTCTGCGCTCAGTGTCCCCCCAGGGCCGAATGTCCTCCGCCGTGCTCAGTATCCCCCCTCCGGTTCTCAGCGTCCCCCCACGCCTGGTGTCACCCCCGGTTCTCAGCGTCTCCCTCCGGTGTGTCCAGCCGGCCCCGCTGCCGGGCGGCCGCCGCGGCCTGGCCGGGACTGAGGGGGCCCGGGCCGCCTTCCCGCCGCAGCCCCCCGGATCCCCCCGAGCCCCGCCGGTCCCGCCCCGATCCCCACCGCCCACAGGCACCTACCGGCTCCCAGCGGCGGCTCCGGCACCTGGCGGCGGCGGGCGGGGCGGGCCGGACTGGGCGGGCGGTGCCGCGGCGGGGCGGGCCTGGGCCGCGCTGGGCCAGCGGGGGCCGGGCCGGGCCTGCTGCGCTGGGCAGCTCCGGGAGCCGCGGACTCAGGGAATCGCGGCGGGGTTTGTGCCGGAAGGGATCGTAAAAATCATCCTGTTCCACCCCCTGGCATGGGCAGAGATACCTGCCACCAGAGCAGGCTGCTCCAAGCCCTGTCCAGCCTGGCCTTGGGCACTGCCAGGGATCCACAGCTTTTCTGGGCACCCTGTGCCAGGGTCTGACCACCATCACAGGCAAGAGTTTCTTCTATATATATAACCTTAATTTCCCCTCTTGCAGTTGGAAGCCATTCCCCCTTGTTCTCTCGCTCCATGCCCTTGTGCCCAGTCCCTCTCCAGCTCTTTTGGAGCCCCTTTAGGTCCTGGAAGGGCTCTGAGTTCTCCCTGGCACCATCTCGTCCCTGTCCTGCACATGGTGCTTTCCCTACCAGGTGTCCCAGTTCATGCCCTACATGATGTCCTGCTCTGGCTGATGTCCTGCCCCACACAGTGACATGCCCATGCCATGGATTCTGGCTGTCACAGGACCAGAGAGCCTGTGGAACCACAAAGGCACCTTTCTGGCTCCAGTGGTCTTAGCTGCACTGCAGGGATCAGTTAACAGATTAGTATTCTAAACAGCCACAGGTTTTCAGTCACTTCTCACCTGCCCCTAAGGCTCCAGAGATACTTGCTGTGCGATTGAGGTGTGCTGGGTCCCATCCTGCCCTGGCAGCTCTGCTGGGGTCGCTCTGGGCTGGTGAGCACACAGCTCCCACTCCCCAGGCAGGAACAGCCATGTGCCCTGCAGGCTCCTCTTCTCTCCTCCCTGTGTCCCAGTGAGTGGCCCAGCTGCAGGTGACAGTGGGGCAGGCAGGCTGTCCCCATGTCAAGGCACAGTCTAGTGGGAGACATTGCCACAGCACCAAGTTAAAGTTTAGACTCTGAGTGGGAGATGCTGTAGGTAAGACCAGAAATATCTGCATCACTCACACCTTGCAGCACAAGAGTGTGTTGTGGTGGCCTTGTGCCCTCCTGTCTTCTCCACAGGCAGCAAAGGCTGGCCCACAGCAATTTTGGCACTTGATCCCTTGTGAGATCTGGCAGCCCCAGACCAGTCCCACCTCACGTGTTGTGACCTTGGCTTTGAGCACAACCACAAAGCAAAGGTGACAGCATTTTGCCAGTGTGACAAAGCTGTGACATTTCTCCCCTTTGGACATCTTTCACTTCAGTTTGGGGGAACTCCGTGAGCACCACTATGAGCTGGCTGGGTGTGGCTGGTGCTGTTCGTCCCAGAGAAACATCCCCAAGCCCTGGTCTTCTCCACACACTTCTTAGCTTCCCTTCTTTCCACGTCCCCATGCCTGTGGGGACCCAGTCCCAGCAGTCAAACCCATGTTCCTCAGGTCACAGACATGCTGCAGATGATCACCACTCTCTGCCCCCTGAAAACCACTGCTGAGGGCTCCCAGCTACAGCAAATTTCCAAAGGTGCATGCAGCAGAGCTGGGCCAGTTACTGGAGAGCTCTTTGCAGAGAGTCTGGGCTCCCCAGAGACCTGCAGGGATGACACAGGTGCATGAGGTGACTGGGATGACAATCTTTCACAAATCCTTATGGAAAATGCACTGAAGCCTCCTAAAAGGCTGCTTTGGCTGGGGTGACCTGCCTAGGACCATGTCACCCTCACAGCCACTGGAGCAGCCACCCACCCCTGGTGTCCCAGTATCCTGGCTACCTCCACTGCTCTTGTCCCTCCTGCAGTGCAGGATTTTACCCTCTAAAACTTTTATGTCCTGGGAGACCCACAGGGCTGGGGAAAGGATGGCACTGGGGTTGGTGTCAATGTTTGGAGTTTCCTGCCCATCCCAGGGGCTGCCCAGGCTCTCCCCTCCTGGAGCAGGGTAGAAAGGCTGATTTCTCTCCTGGTCACAGTGGAGCTGTCTCAGGAGCTGTAGCAGAGCTCTCTCTGTGAGGTGCTCACTGCTGAGGTGCTGCAGGCTCTCAGGCTCCTTTGCTGGTAATGCCCTGGGCTCCAGCATGGCTGGGGCTCTTCTCTCTCCCCAAAACCTCAGGGGCTGTCTGGTTTCAAACTGGGATCTCAGTCCTGAGGCCTTGCAGTGCTGGCCCATGATGCTCTACAGAGGCTGGGCTGACTGCTGGAGCAGCACAAGGCCAGAGGGACCTGTCAGCCATGAGAGCTCCACGGGCACAGACATTTCTGTCATGCCAGGCCACTGTGCCAGGTGAATGGCAGGGCCACACTCAGCCCATCTGAGTCCCCAGGCCACTGCAGCCCCCTTGTCCCTCTGCCTCATGCACTGACATTGCTGAGGGAGGACATGGTCACTGTCCTCCGTGCCACCCCAGTGCTGGCCATGCCCAGGGCCTGGCAGCAGTGCCAGGGGGTCTCCACTATAAGCCCCCCCAGTTTGGGATGTTGCTTTGCTGGGGGCCTGCAGGAGCTGGAGCTGCCCAGAGCAAAGCTTTGGTGTCTGTTTTCAGCCAGCTCAGAGACCTGGATGACATGGCTGCCTGTCTGGAGAAGGTGCTGGGTGAGAATAAAGCAGCTGTGGGATGTAGAAGGTGCCCAACTGTCAATGGTCCCAGGAGGTTTGAGCTTTGAACAAGCTCAGAGGCCTGGGGGCTGCAACCCCACATCCCACTTGTCAGGAACACATTGGGGCATCTCAGGATGTTCCCACCAGCCACTTTCTGGGGCTGCCATAAATACCTCCCTGCCTTGCCTGGCTTCTGCAGCCACCCAGGGCCACACATCCTCCCCAGGGGCTGGGAGGGGCTGGGCCAGCTGCAGCAGCAGTGCAGAGGCTGCAGAGCAGCTGTGGGGTGATACCAAAGCAAGGACAACCTCTGGGCAGAGCTCAGGAGCTGCTTGTGCCACAGCTGGTGCCTGAACCAGCCTGGGCACAGGATTGCCCAGACCTGGCACATCCTCACAAGGAAGCAGCTCAGTGTGCCAGGATTTTGTCACCATGCCATGCTGTGGAGCTGGGGACAAATGGTGGGTGGCTCTGAGGAGGATGAGGGGACGCCAGGGGATGGTGAAGCACCCAGGTATGAACAAGGTGCTGATGGAGCAGGGCTTGGGTGTGGTGAACAAGCACTGGCACTGGGCTCTGCAGGGGATGGCTGTCCCCCTGCACTGTTTCTGCTTCTCCCCCTTCAGCACTGATCCCCCCAGCTCTGCTCCTGGCACACCACAGGGATGTGCTGCATCCCCCAGTGCTCACCCAGGTGCCTGTCCTGAGTGTCCCCTGCCACATGGGCAGAAATGCTGCTGAGCACTCCCTGGGGAGCTGCTGAGGCTGTCGTGTCCCACCAAGGCTGTTTGTCCTTGTGCATTGCAGGTGCAGGTGACAAAGCCAGGCTCCTGCGGGCTGGTGCCAAGCTCACAGGTGTCCAAGCTGGCCACAGGGCTGTGAAATGGCATGGGGGCTGGGGAGGGGAAATGCACCAAGGCTGTGCTGCCTGGCCTTGGGGGACTGGTGGAACTGGGGTTCTACTGCCCTGGCACCCACTCATTGCAGTGGGGTAACACCACAGGCCAGAGATGCTCCCTGCTCTGCTGCCTCCCCTGAGCTGCTGGGGACACACAGGGCAGCCAGAGTGACACTTCTGGGCTGTGCCATGTCCCCATCAGCTCTCTGACCAGTCAGATCACCAGGTCTGTGGTCTGGCACATGATTTTCCAATCCTGTGGCTCCTGATGGCCCTGGGATGATCACAGGCACATTCCCCTCCTCACCACCCAGGTCTCCCTGTGGCTTCACTTGTGTTTCTCAGGCAGTTGTCTCTCTTCAAGGCTGGGGACAAATCCATTCTCTGTGTGCCCTGGGTGGCTCTGTGCTGCACCCCACCCACCTCACAGACCATCCCCACTCCCAGCAAGAGTGGATGTGCCCACATTGGCCTGGATGTGCCCACCACAGCTGGGACAGAAGGTGCACAGCCCTGGCTCACTCCAGGGCCCACCAGCTTGGCCCATTTCATCTCAGTGGGGCAGGACTGAGGCAGCTCCAGCAGAACTCCATGCAGGGAAGCTCACAAGGGCCAGCCCCAGCTCCAGGCCCTGCCCAGGCTGTCCAAGAGGCACCCCCGGTGAAACCATCCCTCCTACATTGTTTATTTTAGCAACACAAACAAGAGACTGAAATTAATTATTGACTGGGGAGCGCAGGGGCACAGCCTTGCTGGGAAACGGTCTGGCAAGGACAGCAACCTCCAAGGGACCTGGGGAAGAGGGGATAGGAGCCAGGTCACAGCAAAACACCCAGGAGCTGTGGATGTCACAAGGGATCCTGAGGACTCAGGACTCACTCACACCACAGTGATGTGGCAGAGCTGGGCTTCTGGGGCTGAGCCCTGGATGTACCTGGCCAAAAGCAGCGGACAGTCAGTGCATGGCTGGAATGGGGTGTTTGGAGCAGCTGGAGATGAAGCCAGCCCTCCTGGGATGCACTGAGCCACTGGGAGAGGGGATCCTGAAACACTCCAGGCTCAGGGCAGCTCTGCCTGAGTCCTGCCACTGCTGCAAACGAAGCAAAGACACGGGGTTCAAAGGGGTTCAAAGCAGAAGAGCGTGTATTGCAAGCGGCTGCGGCGCATCCGGAGAGACTTCCAGCCGCCGGGAGAAAAGAACAGAGGGGTTAAAAACGATCCCAGTCTCTAGGGTTACACTGTGTCATGCAAAACAGCCCTGGGGCAAACCCCATCCTGGGAGGCTGGAGGGGAGGGTGTGCTGGCCCAGCCGGACCCCCTGCTCCCCATCCGGGGCTGGGCGAGGGGCCAGACGCCTCCCCGAGGGCCGGTGTCCCCCAGCCCTGCTCACCAGTGAGGATGGTGTGTGTGGGGTGGAGGCTGTGGTGGTGCAGGAACAGCCCTTGCTCTCTCCACCCCTTACAAAAAACAAGCCTCACAGGGTGTCTGCCCCCCACCCAGTTGATGAGGGCCAAGGGAGGAGGGAAAACACTCAGGCACAACCCACTCTGCCTGGTGGGGCGGCCCAGGGGACTCTGAGGAAGGGACCTCCTCCATAAATGTCACTGGCATGCAAACTCCGGTGTCCCAAGAGAGGAGGGGGTGCTCCCTCCCCGAGAGTCTGGCAGCGTCAGGGTCCCAGGCAGAGGCCAGCACCGGTCCCACGCAGCCTCCCGCTGTCTCTGGGGAGCTCCATTCAGCTCGAGAACAAGTAAAAACTATTTCAAACCAAACCCATGCAAGGCAGCTATTTGCTCGTGTGTCTCGGCAGCTGCCAGACGCCCTGGCAGCGCAGTTCCTCTCCTCTTTGGGGAGGGGGGGGAGAGAAAAAAAAA